CCAGCCAAGATCCACTGAATAACCACGAAATATTTACAGATGATAAATAAATTTTACTCAAAAAGTCATGAATCTGTAAGAACGTTCTGTACGATGAAGTTAATTAAGTGTTCACAAGAAAGTAAGTATGAATGTAAATTTTATTTTAAGTCGGAACATATAACCGACTATCATATAAAAACCGCAATGAATGAACGTTACACGATAAGAGATGAACGTTTGACAAATGCACGTTATCTGATGTACACAGTTATACACGATTGACGAACGCACGGTACAAGGTTAAGAATGAATGATTGATGAACGCACGATACACGGTTAAGAATGAATGATTGATGAGCGCACGATACACGATTAAGAATAAACGATGCACGCACGTTACACGGAAAATACACGGAACGATGAATGATGAGCGCACGATTGGTACACGCACGATACACGCACGCAACACGCACGATACACGAAGAACGCACGGAATAATGGTCAGTTTGAATTTTAGAAGGTCTGTATGTGGTATGGGTTTTACTCCTTGTTGAAGGCTGTACAGTGACCTATAGATGCTCATTTGGTCTCTGGTGGATAGTTGTCTCATTGGCAATCATACAACATCACTTATATTTTAAGTTTAAATAAATTATGGTTGCAGTTATGTGAAAAGTATCAAATTTTTGGCAAACATTGTTATGCTCATATTGCATAAGATCTGTGTAAGCTTCATATTTATAATTTTTGTAAACTCTTACTGATTGCCATTGATAAATGTTCCAGTAGTCGTTATCATGCCTCTTCCAAAGTCTAATCACCAAATATGACTTGTCGTTAGATTTTATATGTCATGAGCAACACAACAGATGTTACTAATGGAAAAGTTTCTTCGTTGCCTTTGTCCTTCCTTCTTTGACCTATGAGTTCTTATTGATATCTTTTTTGTTTTGTGCTAAATTCATATTCAACTACAAACCAATTTGAAATAATTTTATATGTTCCCAACCACCCACTATCATGACCATGACAGACAAAGGATGAAATGCAATAAGAGAATCTAAATAGATAACAAATATATTAAATAGAAACCTGTCACAGAATTAAAGTTAGAAATCAAAACACCTATATGATCCATCCTATGATGTTATTTGGGTGGTAAATATGGTGGTTATAATGACTTGTTTGATGTCACTGAATGCTATGCAAAATCAAAGTAGTAGAGCATTAAGACTCTAATTTGGCCAAAAATATGATATGTACAAATATAGATGGCAACAACCAAAATCACAAACCTGTTAACGTATCATAATGATGTATGGTATTTATTATAATGGTAAATCTTTCATATTCAAAGAGTTACCATGGCAGCAAGGAGTAATGATAAGTGCTCATTTTTAACATCTCCTTAATTTTTGCCTCTCCTAAATAAAGTTGATGAGTCAAGTCCAGGGGCAGCTGCTATAGCAGCTTCATTAATTTGTTAAAGTTTGTGATTAGGTCAGTTTCAAGGGAACCACTTATGATAAATCAATGATATTTAGTATGCACTTGTATAAGCATTGGCATATCTCAGTTCCAGGGAGATTATTTGGCCCTGCACCTTCAGTCATGGTTCATTGACTTTGAATGTTTTGCATAGCTTACATTTAGAAATATTGCAAATTTTAATTTCAACCTTTGCAATTTACTATTAAAATTATGTACAATTACAGGGAATTTGAAATACGGAAGATATAAACCAGAAATAGTTTAATTTTGGTCACTTGAATAAACATACATGCATAAACCCATGTAGGTATAATATATACATAAAAATATTCATATAATACAATACAAAAGATACAATACTTATTAGCACAAACACATTTACATTAAATGGTTATGGCATACAGTATAGTACAATTTAAATAATAAACTGACAATGATTAAATTAGAGTGACAGTGGTATTCACACGAAAAAGAAGACTACAAATATGTGTGTATTGACAGATAAACAATTATTAATGTCCATGAACAAAAAAGGATACATATCAAAAAATAAAAGTAATACAGATTTTCTCAATAAAAGAAAATCATTAATATATTTTGTGGTGATTTTTATAATGATTGGCAAACTGCTATTCAAAAGTGTGGTCATATGCCTCAGTGTTATAGCTGATTGCAATTTAATAAAGTTGAAATTAAGATTAGTGTTAATTTTTTGTATATAGGTATCCCTATGATATACAGCATTGACAGACTGAGAAGAAATGGTATTCCTCCTCAATTTCTTGCCTATTACAGGATAGGCAAATGCGTTGTTTTCTTTCAATATTGGTACACATGTATTATATTTCAGAAGCTAGAAGACCTGTATACTTCACACCTTGTATGCAGATACCTTATGTTACAAATTTCCGTCTGTCATATGCCCATTGTCCTTGACCTCATTTTCATGGTCAGTGATCAAGGTTAAAGTTATGTGGTCAAGTCCAGATATTATAAGCAGTAAGTCAACTATATTTGGTGTATGGAATGGATTGTAAGGTGTACATGTCCGACTGGAAGGTTTCATCTGACCTTAAACTCATTTTCATGGTTCATTAAACAATTTTTAGTTTTGGTGGTAGATACCATAAGCAAAAGGGCCACTATAATTGGTGTATGGACTGAATGTAAGATGTACATGTCCGACTGGCAAGTTTCGTCCGACCTTGACCTCATTTTCATGGTTCATTGGTCAATGTTAAGATTTTGTGGTTTGATCTGTTTCTCAGGTACTATAAGCGATAGGACCGCTATATTTAGTGTATGGAATGATTGTAAGGTGTACATGTCTGTCTGGCATGGTTCATCTGACCGTTACTTCATTTTCATGGATCATTGATTATTTTTACGTCTAACTAGAACAATTTTGAAATCAAATAATAAATGTACAACCTAACAGTGTGAGTAGATTTCACTCTATTTACAGGGTCACCACATTAAAGTAAATGCTTTCATTTTCAAAAATAAATTACCTTGTTAACCATTTAGTAATATATGTTAACTAAAATAAAAAATAAGGTAAAAAGAAAGAGAACTTGTATTTACACTGTACACATTGGTCTGACAAGAAATTAAAAACCTTATATTATTTTAAAATGGATAAAACTCTTTGAGAAGACATAAGTTAGACTATTTTCAATTTAAAAATTTCTAATTTTTATAATAAATGTCTTAATAGTTTATCATTGTCCGGAACGATTGATAGGGTTTTCTATATCGCGTGGGGAATCTCAAGTTTCGTGTGATTTTAAATCTAAAATTTTAAAACTTTAAGTTTAATCTTCAAAATCTCAGTTTTGTATGATTTTAAATCTATAATTGAAACTTAAAAAATTCTAAAGTTTAAAAATTGGTAGTTACCTATTATCTAAAATGTAAAAAGCATGTGGCTCATAGAGTTAAATTTTTATCTCTACACAATACCACGTTGTTGAACAATACGAATATGGTTTGTTAATAATAAGTTAGTTAAGAATTTTTATTTATTTTCCAGAGCTTTTTATTAAAGAATCTTTTTATTTCTTGATTATAAGGACAATTTCAGCATACGTCGATCTCGTAATCTGTCCTGTCCAACAAGATTTTTTGAAGAATATGAATTCGGTTTTAAAACTTGCAAATGCTAAACATTTACAGTCTTTGAAAAAAAAAGCATAACGGTTATACTTTGGCAAGAAATAAAAGTCATAACATTGAAAAATGCTATTTTCTAAAATGATACACAACGTCACAAGCCTTTACTCATAGGTATTTGGGGACAGGACAATTTTTTTTAGCCCTCCCCGTTTTTCCAAAATCCGTTATTTTTTTTGTTTTCTGTTAATTTCAATTATTTTTACTGATATATCAGTGACCGCTGTTGATAGCATAAACTTGGAATTGATAGAAAATAGCAAATACAAGTTATTTCAAGTTATTTATGTTCATATAATACAGAAAAACTCGAAACTAATTGAAATTAATAGAAAACTAAAAAAATAACGGCTTTTGTGAAACAGGGGGAGGGCTAAAAAAAAAGAATTGTCCTGTCCCCAAGTACGTATGGTTTTACCTTGCGTAACTGTGCGCAAAATACACGTTGATGCTTGCCGTCAAAATAATACCTTGAAAATAACACCCAACAATTTACCTTTTATAATATGTGCTATAATTGCAGATCAATTTTGCTATTCAAGTCCGGGTCTTTAAATTGTGGGGTATATGGATGGGATGTCAATCAAAACATATTAGCGGTTGGAAATTGGAAATACCAAGATGTGGTATGAGATATTTCCGACTAATGGTACCAAATCTATAAAAAGTAAAATAACAAAAATACCGAACCCCAAGGAAAATTCAAAAGGGAAAGTCCCTTATCAAATGGCAAAATCAAAAGCTCAAACACATCAAATGAATGGAATACAACATATTCCTGACTTGGTACAGTCATTTCCTTATGTAGAAAATGGTGGGTTAAACTTGGTTTTATGGCTAACTAATCCTCTCACTTGTATTCTCGCATAGAATTCAATTATATAGACAACAGTATTCGGTAGATAGGAAGTTGATGAGCTGGACGACAGATGAGAAAAATCATCAAACGGTAGAGCATGCTCATCTAAAGCTACCACATGTCAACTGTCCGGAAAAATTTAATAATAATTTTAATTAAGTATTCGGTAAACATGAAGTTGATGAGTAAACGCATTACTTGGTCACAAATGATTTAAACAGATTTCAGAAAAAAAAGTGCCGACTAAGACAAACTAAATGGTTTTCTAAATCTTATTGTCTTAACCAAAATATAGGTAAGCTCTTGATAAAAACACACATATTTTCATTACTATGGCAATAGTGACAACCAAAACTGCATTATTATATAACTGAACTTCTAAAGGTGAAACACTCGCGGTTAGCAATCATTCATGTATTTTCATTGATACATTTGTTTTTCGAGAATTTGTTCTACCAACAAGTACCAAACTATAAAACATAAAATCAATAGCGTATAAGGTGAAAAATTTGATTATCATAAAAACCCTAAACAGATTTCAAACTTGCCGTTTATTACATTTATGACTTTTTTTTAACTTGGCTGTCAATCTAAGTATATGTATTTTCTTGGTACATAAAGACAAGCAGATATCAACAAATTGTCAGATATATTGGAATGGACTTTGATAAGAAATAATCTATAATTTATAAAGCTGCTGAATACGAACAGTTTCCGTGTATTTTTGGACAGAACAGTATATTATTTTGAACTCTACAGGATAGCCGTAGGAGGATTTTCAAATGGTTTCATGACAGCTTTCGTAACGGCAGACCAAAACAAGTCTTCGCCTAAACCTTTTTGATATCGTAAATATGGCGTCCTGTCAAGTAAATACCTGATAGAATTAGTCATATGACTTGAATCTATTTGACTCTGCATTATAAGAACTATCGCATCTTTCCCTTGGCGTCGTCTTCTTCCCTGTACATGGTCTAGTTCCCATTGGCACCATTCACTTTCTGTAAAGTTATTCGACAAAACAACAATTACTTTCCAGCTTTTGCCAATATACTTAGTAATATTGTCTATGACCTGTACTCCAACATCAAAATCTCGCTGGTGAATGCAAACTTTTAAGTCCATTTCTTCTAGGTGCTTAATGAGCTCCAAATGAACCCACTGTTGATCTGAACCACAGTATATCACAAACGCGTCGTATTCAAAGCTTTCGGAGAAATTTACTCGGACATATCCTTTCCTTTTCTGTTTCATAACTCGAAATAGATAAATTGAATTACGAATGTTTGCCAGACAATTAAACATTAGAATTAACACCACAGTGACGAGAAAAATGGATACTACAGTAACAATGATTATTGTAAAAATCGGACTCCATGTTGAGCAGTTGGCGTCTGTTGGCTTATATTTCACGAGAAGAAGGTTTTTCTTGTACTCTGGGTATTCGCACCTGTAGAAAGTTGGCCAATTTTTTAGTATTGTAGAAATGTTTGAGGAACGTAAATAATCAACAAACCATTTCTGAGCACATGTACACCAGAATTTATTTTGTGATATATCAAATGACTCCAACGATCGTAATAACTCGATCGGAAACGATGATTCATTAATAACTCGAATGTTGTTTCCATCCATGTATAGATTTCTTAAGGACGTCAGATTTTCGAACACTCTTCGATTCCAAGTTGTAATTATATTACCCTTTAGATGCAGGGTTTTTAAAAACGACATCCTTTGAAATAATCTTTCTGGCAATTTCCTAATAAACGATGCTCGTAAACTCAGTTCAGTCAAATTTGACAGTGGATAAAATATTTTCCGAAATATAACAGGATCGTTTGTCATATGATTATTCGATAAATCTACTTCTTTTAGACTTGGGGCGTGTTTGAAAAGTTCACTAGGATCATAGGAAAAAGTTTTGTTTTTGTTCGCTCTCTCAAAATGGAATTCATTGTGAACAAAATTTAATACTTTCAAAGAGGGGCATCTAAATGCTGTTGGTTTAATTGTTGAAATATGAGGCATCCGATTGATCGATAGCGTTTTTAAATTTGTAAGACGGTAAAAAATGTCATTTTCTAAAACCAAAACACGGTTTTCGTCCAGTATAAGCTGTCGCAGATTTTCAAGACACCTAAAAGATGTTAAACCTAACTTACGAATTGCGTTATCTGTTAGATCCAGGAGAGATAAGTTGGGTACTAACGACTGCCCTCCTTCATCAGCACAGAAATTTGGAATCTCAAATATATTATTCGAAATTAGAATTAGATTAATAACTGAGTGTAAACCACGTGCATTTAAAAATACAAGTTCATTTCTTTCAACACTTAGTGTGTGTATCTCAGAAAATTCAGACAGTAGACTGCAATTAAAATTCCTGAATATGTTGTCGTCAAAGGATAGTTTTTCCAAGGTGTAATTTCTGAAATCAGAGAAGAAATCCAAAGGAAGCATAGTCCATCCATTGTTTATAAAATACATTATTTGCATTCGTAGTTTGTTGACATTTTGGAACGACATTTTCAGAGAAGAAATAGTTAATTTTGTTTCATGTGATATTTTCAAATGTCTGAGATAATTCAATTCCTTAAAGGCATCTGCAGTCAATACTTCTATTGAATTGTTCACGAATGATAAACTTGTTAAGTTATTGTTTGAAACATTTCGAAATGTGTCCATACTGATATGAGATAAGAAGTTGTTTTCCAATTCTAATACCACTACATAACTTGGTACTCTTGGAATATACATTAAACGGCTACATCTTGCGCTACTATGTTTTCTGCTACAGCTGCAGAATTTTGTCAAACATGGTACACCGCTCTTTTCTGTCCGAATTTGAACATAGTTGTACCAAATAAAGCAAAGAAAATATAGCTTTAAAAATTCCATTCCTGCTAGTACTTATACATCGACAGAAATGTATTGATATCTATTTTATGTCATGAAATAAATTATTATACATGCAATTTCCTTCCGAACCATCTCTTGATTGAACTCATGCAAAGTCATACCATCCTGTTTATTTTCACACAGAAAAAAAATATGTTACTTCCTCATGAAGTTAACAGCACCAAACATTATTATTTTTTTTCGAAACGAATGTTAAAAAGTGTAAAAAGGAAGTAAAAGATAAACTTTTTTTTTATGGACAATTAAACAAATTAACTAAAATGAAATATTAACTTTTATCACACGTAGTCCTTTAGGGCAGTATGAGCATATGTTGTGATGGTTACTTTGCGTCCATCGTAAATGTTTTTTTTCAACAACTTTCTCTAAAACCGCATGATAAACAAAAGTTTTGAAACTGGCAGTAATGATGTTTGCAATGTTCTCTTCAAACGATCCTAATTTTGTTCCTATCGAATAAAAATATGGCTACAACGGCTGCAATAGAATATATTGGTAAAACTGTGTTTTTTTCTTGTATCTCAAAATTAAAGCAGCTAGAGCAAACCGACAAGAGGTTAATATGATCACTAGGTCAATTCTACCTAGTATGAAATATAACAAGAAATCGCAGGTGTTTGGCATTTTTTTTATTACAGATTAAGAGAAATTTTAAATAAATCATAATAAACAAAAATTACAAGCACCACCACACCAGGTCTACGAATAAATAAATCACCATATCCGGAACCTTTGAGGGTAATTGACCTTAAATGACGAATTCGACCTTTTTTCTAGAAGGTGAGATTCTCGGGTACGTTTTACCTCAAACTATATGGGAATTCACAATGTTTAACTCCAATTTTAAACAAAATGGTAAACGATATCACAAAGACATTCTAAACCTATGTTTAATATGATCAGGAGATTTGCAAAATCGATCTCAAAATAAAATTTAGTGATTCAACCAAAAATAAATGAAATTTTAAAATTTGTTTTAATATATATTATTATATATGGTAAAACCCGAGGATTTTTCCCCGCTTCAACTCCAACATTCAAATAGATAAACACAATCTTATATGTATTGACACCTTTTTAATGCCATTAAATGACCTTTTTCGTCAATCTATTGCTGACTTTGTTCCTTTCAAAACAGTAAAGGATAGAGAGAAACTGTATCAAGAGTAGCAAATAAGATCAATAAGAGATGCGGAAGATACCAACAGGTATATTCAAACTCATAAATCGATTCATCAAACTGACAACGTCATGGCAAAAAAAGAAAACGACCAAAAGAAAACAAAAACCAGTAGATAAAACAAAACATTGAAAACTAACGACTAAGCAACACAAGCCCTATAAAAACCGGGGGTGATCTCCGGTGCTCCGGAAGGGTTAGAAGATCCTGCTCCACATGTTTGTTTCGCATCACGGTGCGAAGCGATATTCACGCCATCTTGAAATTATTATGTAACAAATATCGATTCTCATTGGTTGTATGTTTTTGATGGATTGATTCTATTGGCTAGAATGAGATATTGAATTGGGAACATGTCCCGGAAAGGAGGAGATATTAAATACGGACATAGTTTCATTATGGGTATTCAAGATCCGATCTGGTACCCCACCAAGGAATAGTTTTTCCTTTACAGGTTTACCTTGTTATGTAATGTCGAGTCAATTCGTGTTGATAAATTAGACGAGGGACAAAGATAAACATGATCGGAGTGCTCATCTGACTATATATGCATATACACCAACACTTAAAATACATATAACTGCCATTGATCTCCAAGAAAATTGTCAGAATACTTGAATTCCATGTTATAAAACAAAATCATACATAAAAAACAACTACGTCAAGACCACATGATACCCCGAATTGTGCTTAAGGATCTGACATATTTATGAATTTAATAGCAAATTAGTAACATTGCTGTGTCATGAGGCTATCCATTTGTAAATACGTATTGCGTCAAAATCGACTGTTAAAAGTCCCATAACTTTATTTAACGACAAAACTATATTTTGTTTCAAATCCAAGGCGAGTCTAGATTCGCAAATACCAACATCAGTGTAAAGTTTGTAGTTTATCCAAACGTGTTAGATCGAGAGTATGCCATGTAGAGTATTACCATGAGTCCCATAACTGTGGAATGACAATAAAAAAAATCAAAATCAAACAGTATACTCTGGAATGACGACACACAAGAATTTAAATATCAAAAGGAAGTTTTTTGTCTATCAATCCTAATGTTCCGTTTTAGTTTCGTTGGAATTGGTTAAAGCAAATTTAAGTTTTTGTAGGAAGTATTCATCAACGAACTACAGTTAACCAATCTAAGATGAAGAAATGAAACATTAACAGATTAAGAAACTTTCTTACAGTTCATCAACAGGAATTGACAAATATGGTTGTGTTTCTTTTTCTTTTGAGTACTGACAAACCTACATGTATGCACCTGCAAAAGTTTAAAGGCACTACAGGAACTAGATGGATAAACTTTAACTGCATACTGCAAACTTTCCTGGATTTTGCTGTTTCTTTATCAAAGTCTACAGAAGATGGTAAAACAAACAAACTCCTGAATTCCATTTGATACAGCCCAAGCATTATAATACACAGTTTAATCAAATTGTTGTGCAGATTTGAAAAATGTGGTAAAGTTGTCTCTCTTTTGTTGGAGTCAATAATTATAATTCACTTCAATCATTATACAAGAGGAACATCTCAAACATTTTCCCCAACTTAGTTATTTTGGCATCTTCTGTGGGAATTGAAAAAAAAGGAAAGCTAACATTCAGGAAAGTATCTTAATTTTCTGTTAATAGATAAGGTATTAATTGCCTTTGAAGTAGTCCAAATAATTATTTTAATTACGTCATGTACGTAGAAAGGTGCCACTGCGAAAAATTAAAATAGACTTTCAAGACGTCATAACTATTTGGAACGCCTTTGAAGGTGCATAGATTTGATTTTTTTTTAACACGCACGATGATTTTAAGTACATGAGCAACCATGCAGTGTCAAGAGCAACACCTGCAGAAAACAGATAATATATGACAGTTTCAATTAAAAAAAAATTCTTTTAAGAGTGCATTTTTAACTCAAGAATAAGTCAAATCGGTTAGGAATGAGAATTCAATAAAGCAAAAGACTCTGAAAGAAAACAACTTTTTGAGATGTGGTCATTTCTGATTGGTTATTTTAAAAAGTACGCATTTGCTAATAATTTGAGGAGAAAAAAAACCTAAATTGTGGATTAAAAATTAGGTAATGATCACTGCTAAGTAGAATTTGCATACCTCGTCATAATAAAGCTCGCAAATCAACAAAAATGAGAAACTACACTTTCATCGTCCAACTGCGGCTGATTTTGTGCTGATATTAAGGCCGCTCAAGTCATTTGCTGAAAACGTTAATTTGGAATACATCGAATGCATGTAATATTAAAAAAAATCATCTAAATTTTCCTGAAAAAGCTATGAATGAATAAGAATTATTATCTATTGAAAATTGTCTCATTAGTACCAGTTAGTACACATTGAAAAAAAGATATTTGCTTTATCTTAAGCGGTATTTTCAAGGGAAAAAGAAACAAAGACGGAAACAGATATGATAAAAAGTAACTTACTTAAACATTAGTTTAGAGTCTGTAACACATGAAACATCACAATATTACACGCTTGTTTAAGCTTTTAACCGACATACATACACAAAAAGATAGTAGATAAACAATTTAAGAGAATATCAGCAATGCAACTATGCATTAAGCTAAAAAAAAAAACTGCACTTGTATTTTTAATAAGGAACAACTGAAACTACTATAACGCAGTGTTATAGTAGTCTCAGGGAACAAGGATAAGACCTGGCTTATGGTGACTGGGTCATCTGTATTTTATGTTGAAGTTTCCAATGATCTTGAAAGGATCTTGAGGGAGTTTACAAGATTGAGAATCATAAATCCCAAACTTTTTCATACAAATTTCTTTTTCAATGATGACTATTAGAGTTTCTTTGAATTTTTTGTAAAACTCATCCTTATTTTCTAATAAAAAAATCAGGAAATTGTGTACGATAGATGTCCAATTGGCCTTCAACAATCAGCAAAAACTATAATGTAAAGTCAGCTCTGTCCAAATGGCCTTCAACAATCAGCAAAAACTATAAAGTAAAGTCAGCTCTGTAATGCTGTAAGGCCTTTACATGACAAAATGTGAAACTATTCAAACAAGATAATAACTACCTGATTTATAACAAACAATTAAAGAAAACACAAACATGACAGGCATAAACCTAAGAAAACCACTGGATAACAAGCTCAGGACTGACTTTGGGCAGACACATAAAGAATGTGGCAGGGTTAAACATTTTTGTGAGCTCAGAAACCTCCCCTGACCTGTGGGACATGTTGTAATAAGATAGCACAAATTAAGAACAAACTGCAGATGGAAACCGCTTGAATGTTCAGATTGGAATGAAGCACAACAAACTACATAAAGACAAAAGGCTGCAAGTACCCATCTAAGGGTACTCACAGTTTCTGAAATTAAGCTAATTCAAAGCCAATAAAAACTATAAACCATGTTCTTCCGGACTGAGTATCAATCAGAACACATCAAACATTTAGTGTAAATATGTCTGTTTCAAATTAATGAGTTACTAAGCAGGAGCAATGTTAAAAAAAGAAGAAAAATATACAATTTTATTGGTGTAAAATCCAAATATTGGGTTGTTACCAAGACAAAACAAAACAATATTTACAAACATACAATAATTAAAGTTAAACAACATTGGTATTACATAAGTAAATCATATATTCATATATTTTGGAGGAGGTGATACTTTTGCAATAGTGAAAGTAAAATTACAGTATTTATGATATTGTTATAAAATATAACAAAACAAATATATATATATATATGTAATAAAAAAAAGAAAAATAGAAAGTAATCACAAATTTCTATTACATAGTTAGTTTTTCATGTCAGCTAGGCTATTTCTTAG